CTTTCAGTCTCAGTAAGTTCACATTTTATGAAGGGAAGTGCTGGTGAAGTGGTTGAAGGTTTGTATCAGCTGCCTAAACTTAACGTGACCACACGCCCGGATTACTGTAATGCACTTTTTATATAGGAGTAAGTGATTTCTATCTTGCCCAGCTCCACAGGGTACAAAATGCTGCTGCACGTCTTTTAACAGGTACACAAAAATTTGACCTTATTTCCCCTATTTAATTGTTTCCACTGGTTGCCAGTACATTTTAGGATTCATTTTAAAATCCTTTTATTTGTTTTTCAAGCTCTTAATGGCCTTGCCTCTCCCTGAGCTGTGAGATTCTTACACACCCTCCCGTTCCCTCAGATCAGCTGATCAGTTGCTCCTGAAGATGCCAAAGACAAAGTGCAGCTCAGAGGGAATTGTGCTTTTTCTGTGGCAGCTGCCAAGCTGTGGAATGATCTTCCTTTGGGTATAAGACAGGCCTCTTCAATCAATGTTCTTAAATCCCTTCCAATGACCCATCTTTTGTCTTTGGCGTTTGGCACAATCTGAGATGTTTCACTTTGTTTTATTGTGTCTGTATATTAATATGTATTTCATATTCAATATTTTCTATTTGCATTGTATTTTATTATTGTGTATAGCTCTTTGGTCCTGTCGGTGTATAAAGTGCTTTATAAATAAAGTTGGTATGATATAATAAAAAAGTTTCCTTTAGAAGCTGCCCTATGCAAAAACTTGTTTTGTGTCGGAGTTTTATGATTGGAGAGGAAGGATGCATGGATATATGACTGAGTGTTGTCACATTATTTTTTTATTTGCTACCAAGGTGAAGTGTAAACATTTGCTCTGTGGTCAAATCCTTTAGGGACCATTTCCTACTGCATGCATCAGCTCTATAGTTATGACAGAAGTAGAACCCAACTACAGTTCCTCTGAAACGGATGGCAAGTAATTCTCACTTGGGTTTTCCCAGGGTTCTGTCTTCTATTCAATGTAGTTAAAAATAACATATTGGTTATATTCAACCAGTGTGTTTGGTTACAGCTGCTGTTGTCTTTCAAAGTGACTGGAAGAAGCCTGAATCTTCTCTCACCTTCACTTCTTAAGTAAACCCAATGTGTTCTTCAGAATCTCTTTCCTGTTCATTAAATGCATCAAATGAAAGAGCAAACGAGGTGGATTAGCAGCACTTATCAACAACAGATAGTGTAATCTATATGAAGTATTGTTCCTGGGACCTGGACAGGCGCAATAGATTTCTGCCACATTACTCATGTGCTCATCAGTGTTTTTTCTGGCAACCGCGTACGTTCTGCAGTCGTTGACACTCCAATACAACACCCCAATATGTACGTAGCAATATCTGGAGATTTTAATCATGTATCCGTTATTCCTCTACCAGAGGAACTGACACATTGTATTTGTTTTATGTAAAGGGTGCATACATCCCTAAAACAAGACTTCCTCTGCTCAGAATATTGACCTAATGTTCATCCAGAGGAATATGGCTAGAACGCATTCCTCTACATGCGTTCCATGTTCCTTCACTCAGGAGTTTGGCTGAACAAACCTCTGAGTGAACAACAACATCCCCAACGGAGCAGTGACACTACTTGGAGCTTTTCTAGTTTCATCATTTTATATTCCAAAGTTAATGGATTTTATTTGGTTGTGTCCAGATTCCGGTACTACCAGAACGTCTGCACCGTCAGTTACTCGTTTGTGTGGTGGGACTGGCCAAGATGGGAGAAGGAAATCGACTGGATGGCTCTGAATGGAATCAATCTGCCTCTGGCTTTCACTGGCCAAGAAGCTCTGTGGCAAGAGGTGAGAGACAATGTTTTATCTCTGAGTTTAAAAAACCCAACTAATTATTCATTAAGCAACAAGAGTGTCTTCTTAATCTATTGAAATGATGAAACGGTGAACAAAGCTACTGTTTAAGTTTTGATAAAAAGGAGAAAAATCAGTGAAAGCGGAGTTATGATTGAATGAACTAGTTACAGTGACCTCATTAAACTGGGGACTCTCTGTACTAACACACACATTTTCTAAAGGCTTTTTTGGTGTTTTTGTGCCATATTGAGGAAAAAAATACACATCTTCATAGTGTCAAAGTGGAGATGTTTTCAAAACTCAGTTTTGGTGTATCTATGTAGACCTTAAGTCTGCATGTAGGAGTGGAAATGCCCACTGTCAGTTCCTACTCTACAGTCCAGACCAGCAGCACACCAACCTGTACCGTACCGTTCAGAAGAAACAAGGCATTGGACGGGTGGAAACCTAAACTTCTGGATTCTTTATTACTGAACAGAAATTCTTTAAACATAATTTAGGATTCATAAAACCTTTATTGTACATGTTAAAACACAGCCTGCCTCATGGAGGTTGTTGCTTGATCTCATTTGAGCAGCTGAAGTTGTGATGACCTCCTGAACCTGTTTGCCCTTTGCCCTTCAGGTGTACCGAGCTCTTGGACTGAACGAGTCGGAGGTGGAAGAGTTCTTCTCTGGACCGGCGTTTCTTGCCTGGAACCGGATGGCTAACATGGACAAGTTTGGTGGGCCTCTGCCTCAGTCCTGGCATGTGAACCAACTGTACCTCCAAGTATTCATAACTCTTTGAATGTCAACACACTTTAACACTTAATGTTTACAATCACAGTGACCGTCTAATAACACAACCAGTGAGTGAGGCTGTATGAACATGTTTGAATGTAGAGCAGCAGTTTTGACACACAGACAAGCTCATACAGTCTGTAAGTCTGGTTGTTGCGTCTTGATTGCACCAATCAACAGGTTATCCTGTTACATTCAGATTCGGATCACTTCCTGATGTGACTCATAAGCTGCTATACATAGGGGAATTATTTGCTTATTTATTTATTTATTGTTAGGGTTAACACCTGTTAAACATACATTAACAAAGACAGAAAAGACAAAAGAGTTAGATTCTTTTTCACTCGCGAGGAGAACGGACAGAGATGTGCTTCAGTTACAATCTCCTACCGCTCTGAAGCACATTTTGTCTGCTCCTCTATTTATTGTTTCTAGGATCCCTAATCACAAGGACGCTGTAGCTCTAAAGGGAGGGGAAACGAATCATCACACAGCTACAGCGTCAAATATCATTTACTATCTAATACAATTATTCTGCACTAGACAATCTTCTTCCAGGCACAAAGTTAAACACAATATGTAGGGAATCTTCACAGTGACAGCCTTGTAGCAATCCAGCAACTCAGACGAAAGCAGAGCTCTTCACCAAGAGATCTATTCCGTCAGTGAGGCCTTCTGAGAAAGGAATCAGAGCAAATCAACAATACAAGAAACATTCATTATTCTATAATGAGATCAAATAATAAAGGAATAAAAGAAAGACAACATGATAAGATTATATGAGAATAACGAATATTTGATTAATAATATCACAATTTCTCCAACATTTCCCCCCTGTTTATCACATATTTGTTCTAATTCTCATATCCCTCCTAAACAGCCACTTCAAAACGATTTTCAGCTGGGAGTTCATTTTCAAGAAAGCAAACATGTTTACACTCAGGGCTTATACTCAGACCAAAACTTAGAATCAGGATACACATCAAGAGAGTCCTCATCAGAGCTTTCTCCGTCAGACTCAGGTTCTCTAGCCAGCAAAGGATACATCGGCGTCATCTGGTTTCCCATGGGCGAAATTGCTGTAGTGATGAGACGATTAAACAAAGAACGCAGGCAAGGAATACAACAGCATCCACACAAGGTTAGAATGGCAGCAAAGACTGCCATCGACACTAGAACAGAGGACACAAGGGTTCGGTACTTTCCAAAAACATTCATCCAGTCGTCCCACCTGGAAGTATTCACTCCAGAGAACTCCTTCAGCTTACCATTAAGGGTACGGAGCCCCTCAATGGCCTTCGTCAGGCTGCCATCAGCCGCTGTGTTGTTGGGTAGAAAAGTGCAGCATCTTTAACCAAAGATTGCACACACTCCCCCTCGTTCAGCCAGCACCATGTCAAGTGCAATGCGGTTCTGGAAAGCCATCAGTGATGTAGCGGACAGCTGCTCGTGTACCGCCTCGAAGCCTGCCTGTGTCCAGTTGCCCAGTTTTTGTACATTGTAATGGATGTAGTTGATTCTGTCAACGTTTTTGTTTAATGTACACCACCAACAAATTGTGGACTCAAATCCTGCTGCAGTTTGGTCGGCCAATTTATACTCATCTGGTACACCACGGGGAACACCAATGGCATCGATGTATGTAGGATCATTGTTCCTCCAGGTCAGGTCTCGCTTCTGCAACTGACGTCACTGCTGAGGCACAACATCAGTTAAAGCATGAATTAAATGATCAGCAGTCATAGGATAAACAGAAACAGGCAATAATAAAGAAATTAATGCAGACATCCCTGTTACCTTCCTAGGTAATCTATTAAAAATTTTGTCACCACTGCACCACCACCAGACATCTGCACGAAAGACAGGGTTAAATTCATTGTTCACAGAGAGAACAGTCCAGTGTTAAAACATCATTTGTCATACATCAAGTTTAATCTCTGTATTTGCTGACGTCATACTTGCCCAGGAGACTAAAACAATGATAACAGAACTAGGTGGAAAACACACCTGAATACCCATCCTCATTCTGTAAACAGTGTTACAAGAATACATTTTCATTTATGACATGAATTGTTCCCAGATGAAAACACAAAATAAAAACAAAAAGATATATTCACTTGTTATTTTCATTAATGTGCAAGTTCGTTCTGCTCCTAAAGACACTACAGGGTTGTGGACAATCTTCACCAGTTTTGAGACGGAAAAACTATTTGGTTTAACCCCCTTTGTAACCTGGACTTTGCCCTGTAGGTCGGTGAGCGTCTTGAGCTTGCTTCCCAATTACTTTTGAAATTAAATTACTTTTTGCAGAGTGTTAAATGTATCCAAGTTGGCTTTTCCGCTGCATCTGGGTTTTTAGTGAAATGTTCAAACCATTTAGAAAAGCATCAATTATTTCTAAACAATACTTCACTTTTATTCAATTCTATGAAGTCCATGTGCATTACTTGAAATGGATATTGCAGAGTAGGAAACTTTCCTCTAAGTGATCTTAGATTGCCCTGAGAGTTATGTTTTGCACATATCAAACAGGTCCTACAGAATTTTTTTAAATAAGAAATAAATCCATAAGTAGTGTAATGTTGATGTATCCTAACATCCCCCTGTTGAGACATGCGAAAACCCATGGCTCAATATTGCAGCCCATTTATACACATCTTTTTCTTGGTAAAATAGGTTCAGTTTCATATAATTTTTCCAATTTTGCTCCATTTTTTTATCCATAAATCCTTTTCATTTTGAGGACTTAATTGTTGCATGTCTCTTAAAGTTTCTTTCATAAATTTAATTTTTACGTCCACATGTAATACATTTATTTCTCCCTCAGCTGCTTTTTTTGCTATTTTGTCTGCAAAAGCATTCCCTAGGGACACCTTATCTGTCCCTGCAGTGTGCGCCGCACATTTACAGATTGCTAGTTGTTTTGGTAGGTGCACGGCTTGTAATAATTCTTTTAATAAGTCTGCATGTGTTACTTTTGATGTTAATGGGTGAAACAGAACTATAGGAGCTCTAACTTCTACTGCCATAGAAGCAGCAACTACAGCTCTCACACAATGTGGTAAAGCACACGCTACACTATCAAGTTTTGAAGAAAAATATGCTATTGGTCTCATTTTATCACCATGCTGTTAGACTAGCACCGAGGTCTTGACATGACCTTTACAATCCACCATCTGAACAAAAGGTTTTTTTTTTTATTGATAATCTGGTAATGCTAACGCAGCGCTTGACACGAGGGCCTGTTTAGTTTCCAAAGTCCTTCTTCTGCTTCATCTGCCCACAACAAAGAAGAAGACATTTTAAAATCTTTTATACATTAATTTATTCAGAGCTGCCACAATTTCTGCATAATTAGGCACCCAGTTTCAACAATAGTTAGTCAACCCCAAAAAGGACATCATCTGTTTTTTTGTTTGTGGTTTGGGAGCTTGGAGAATTGTCGTTTTTCTTTCCTCCGCTATGGTTCGTCCTCCTTCACTCAAATTATGACCCAAATATTTTACATTTCGTTTACACAGTTAAAGTTTATTTTGTTAACCTTATGACCTTCTTTAGCTAAATGTTACAGAAGCGCTAAAGTGTTTTGCTTACAGGTTTCCCTGTCTGGAGAGGCAATAAAACATCAACTATGTACAACAAAACTTGGCTCCCTCCTGGGGGTTGAAAAGTTGACATACTTGCACTCATTACTTGAAAGAAAAATGTAGGGCTTTCACAGTAGCCTTGAAGTAGTCTGGTGTACGTGTATCTTTTCCCTTCAAAAGTAAAAGCAAACCAAAATTGGCTCTCTTTCTCAATTGGTATTGAGAAAAAGGCATTTACTGATGTCTACAACCGTGAATACTTTTGCATCTGATCTAAGAGAATTCAACAATGTGTGTGGATCAGGCACATGTTTTGTGTCTGTGTACAGATAGGTCACAGTTATCTTGGCTGGGGTGACCTTGTTGAGTCTCGCTTCATAGTTCCTATCAGGCCCAGGAACTGTTTTGATCCAAAGTGTGACATGCAAATCATCAGGAGACTTTTGATCCTGTAGGGCAGAAATGGCTTTATGCCCCTCTGCCAGAAGTGTTTGTGCAGTGTTGTGTGGGGGTTTGTTGGGCACATCCAATGAATAAAAGTAATACAGTTCCCTGTGTCCCTGGACAACAAAGAAATCCCCTTCTTTTATTCCTGTAGCTGATCTTGACATTTTCACCACAAATATTTTACCCCAAGAATGTTTTCTCTACATGTTCTACATGCACCCGTGTCACAGAGGAAATTTACAGGTTTGCTATTTATTAGGAGAGTTATTTCAGGTCTTATGCTGTCCATAGAAAGTAAATCCTGAAGATTTAACTGGACCTATTCACTCCCCAATTTCTCTGATCTTAATCATGCTGACTGTCCTGTGTTTTTTGTTTTCTTTTCTTGGGCAATTTCTGGCTAAATGTCCTTCCTGCCCGCAACACCAGCACCCTGAGTAACTGTGCCTGTAGTTTCCTCTCCCCCGTCGCCCTTTTAAACCTCTAAGGTTCTGACCTCTGCCCCTAAAGCCTTCTCTTCCTCTCCTGTCCTCATAAAACACTTGTTCCTCATCCTGGAAAAGGCTCCTGGAACCTTTTCCTTTTCTTTTGTAATTTCTTTCTCCCCACTTTCTCGTTTTTGCGCTACTAATTGTACATCATCATACCCTTCCTCGTACAATTTTTATTTGAATTTGTTTTTTGTTTTATTTTATCCTGATCTTTAATAACTTTCCAGTCGTTTGATTTTAGACTGTCTGTTGGCTTAGTTTTACTTATTCATTTCCCCATTTTTTTTTGTAAAAATTTGGACCAGTTGTGCTGACTCCTAGGGAGTCCTAGACACTGGAGATCTGATTCAGTAGGCCAGCAATTGAAAGAACCTGTTGTGGTAACTCTCACTTCAACTCTTTCGAGTGGAGAGTTCTTGCCTGTGCATCCACAAGAGGTTTGCTGCTCACAATCCTACTGTTTTACATGAGATAAAATACCAAGTGGTATTTATACCTCCAATCACGCTCACATACACACTTTTTTATCACGGAATTTAAGCGCCTGTTATCGCCGGACTCCGCCGTCCGTTTAAACACGGGTATTTGTCGGGCCCCGTTGCCCACAACAGGACAAGGTCTCCAACCTTGCAGCACCAGGCTCCGTACACCTTATCGCGGAACTTTTGCGCCAGGACTCCGCTGCCCTACACGGATTTTGTGCAACTATTTTTACCTGTTAGAGTCTAGAATTGACAGGGTTTTCACTTGTGCGCGCAACAACCTTCAGTCAAAGAAGAAGTCACTCTTCTCTCACACAGAAGAATGACTTACTCTCTAAAACGTCATTCGCCACTTTTTAAAGAAGAATCACTCACCCTCTCTTGTCTTTCCCTGGAGTGTCGTCAACCTTCAGATCCCAGCAGGCAGGCCGAGCCCAGTCCTTTAACAGGTTCTCTTGCCGTGCGCACGGTCTTACTGGGGTCCGCCACACCTGCCGGAATCTTTCCAGTATATGACCTCCGGCTCGAAGGACCAAAATGTTAGGGTTAACACCTGTTAAACATACATTAACAAAGACAGAAAAGACAAAAGAGTTAGATTCTTTTTCACTCGCGAGGAGAACGGACAGAGATGTGCTTCAGTTACAATCTCCTACCGCTCTGAAGCACATTTTGTCTGCTCCTCTATTTTATTGTTTCTAGGATCCCTAATCACAAGGACGCTGTAGCTCTAAAGGGAGGGGAAACGAATCATCACACAGCTACAGCGTCAAATATCATTTACTATCTAATACAATTATTCTGCACTAGACAATCTTCTTCCAGGCACAAAGTTAAACACAATATGTAGGGAATCTTCACAGTGACAGCCTTGTAGCAATCCAGCAACTCAGACGAAAGCAGAGCTCTTCACCAAGAGATCTATTCCGTCAGTGAGGCCTTCTGAGAAAGGAATCAGAGCAAATCAACAATACAAGAAACATTCATTATTCTATAATGAGATCAAATAATAAAGGAATAAAAGAAAGACAACATGATAAGATTATATGAGAATAACGAATATTTGATTAATAATATCACAATTTCTCCAACATTTATGAAAGCTTTTTAACAACATATTTTGTGAAATCCCGCTGCATCGCTTCATTATCTATAAGCCCCTCTGGTGAGGCTGATTCATCTCTTTAAAGGGCCAGACTTATGGCAAGTCTACTTTTTTTGAGCTTTGCATTATATTATGATTTTATTCCCTCATCAAAAACATTCCTTTGATTCTTTCATACATGTTTGAGAAATTGTTTAATTTCCATGGCAACCATCCAGCTGTGCAAAATCACAGCACAGCTGGGCTAAAGTGGACTTAGCCCGGCCTTTCAGGACAAAGCTCCTCCTCAGAGCTGCACTTTCCGTTTACTGGAGCTCTCCCACTAAGTCTAGTTGTAGAGATACTATGTTGTGATTGGTTGAGGTCATGATTGATTTAATAAACAGGAAGGAGACTTTTTAACATCACAGTTTTATGGCAAGTACATTTTTTGAGTAACTTGTGGACTGAATCCTCATCACCTTTCTTTCTTCCTGCAGTTTAAAATCTTGGAGCGGATGAGAGCGTTTGGAATGATACCTGTGCTGCCAGCCTTCTCAGGGAACGTTCCCAAAGGAATTCTCAGGTAACGCATCCTTATTTTTCTGACACATTTTAGTTATTACTTTTAGTCGTGTGTGTTGTGTTCAAAAGTAGAGAGTTGTTCAATGGGAACTGATCATAAAAGTCTGTTCTTTCTTCCAATGAATGAAGTAATGTGTCTTTCATGTATTCAGTCATTGACTGATGCCTTTATACAATTGTTTTTAACCCTGACCCTTAACATAAACACACATGTGACAATCTGCTGCATCTTCTTCACAGTCACTGACTCACAGAGTGACAGGTGACTCTGACACCTGACTGTGTCACCTGAAGGAGACAGAATCAGGTGACAGGGCACCTGAAGAAGAATAACGGCTCTAAAACCAAACTGCTATTAAGCTCTGCTTCACTCAATAAATCATTTTGTTTGTAGTTTCTATGAGGTTGAGATGAACTTCCCTGTGGTCATGCATCACACCGCAACAAAAACTGAAAGCAGTTATATCAAACAAGAACGGTGCCTGTTACAATCCAGAGACTCGGATGACTTTGTTTGGAAATTAACAAAAAATAGAATGGAAAATATTACCAGCTTGGCACTTTTACAAAATAACGATTTCAATTCTTTCTGTACCCACAGGACAACACACAGACACATTTCATAAACAGACATGCATACAACCTCATCTGTAAAAGCTATTTAGTTAACCCAATGGGCCTCGCAATCATGTTTTTGGAATAATATTACATAAGCCAAAAAAGAATTGGACTCAAATCCAGGATGTTCATGAGTTTCATGCTTAGTTGTGTGCTTGCTGTTTCTCATGGGGTGGACTCACTGTGTGTCCAACTTCCTCTCTAAAGATGGAACCTGACTGATTCTTGGACATAAACAGTTAACCTCAACATTTTGGGCAACTGATAGCTTGTACTCACCCATGGATGCAGCCTTTATCCCAAACAGAGCAGTGGAGAAAAAGTTTTTGTTCTGCCTCTAAGGTAGAAAGGAGATCCTGTCCCAGTGGAAGCAGATCAGAACCTGGTCTGGCTCTAGATAGTTCCTTCTTCTTTTTTTTCTTCATAGTTTCCTTTTCCAGGGAATTGGGAGTGTGCCTAACTTTGAAAGAAGCAGTTCCACAATAAAGGTTTAGTTTGGAGCAGTTTGGTGAAATAGAGAGATATTCTCTGAAGGGAATCTGCTTCATCTTTCCTTCACCAAATGACAAAAAGTAGGCCTGTCACAGTTAGCTTCTATGTTTCTGTCTGATCTTGTGTAATTGGCCTGTTTTGTCCAGGTTGTACCCGAAAGCCAATGTCACCAGGCTGGGACCGTGGGCACATTTCAACTGCAGCTTCTCATGCTCCTACATCCTGGATCCAAGGGACCCACTTTTTCTCCAGATTGGCACCCTCTATCTGTCTGAGGTGGTAAAACGGTTTGGCACAGACCACATCTATAACACTGACACCTTCAATGAGATGACCCCACCTTCTTCTGACCCCACCTACCTATCTGCAGTCAGTCGCTCTGTCTTTGCCTCAATGACCGCCGGTGAGTGTCTCTGTGTCAGAAACTTTGTTCTTGTATCAAGTTTTGAATCTAACTTTGCTCCATAAAGGCACCATCAAGCTTTTACAAAAGTTGTCCTTGTTTTGATTTCTCTCCAGTTGATCCTAATGCGATCTGGTTGATGCAAGGCTGGCTGTTCTTCAGCGATCAGACGTTCTGGAAGGCGCCACAGATCCAGGCTCTACTCCATGGAGTTCCCCTGGGAAGGATGATTGTGCTGGATCTGTTTGCAGAGGCTGATCCAGTTTTCACATACACAGAGTCTTTCTATGGACAGCCCTTCATCTGGTGTATGCTGAACAATTTTGGGGGGAACAATGGGTTTTTTGGCACAATTGAAAGCATCAACTCAGGGCCTTTTAAAGCCTTGCACTTCCCAAACTCCACTCTGGTAGGAATAGGCATGACACCTGAGGGTATTGAGCAGAATCCAGTTATCTATGAGTTGATGAGTGAACTGGCATGGCGCAAAGAGCCAGTCAACCTTGCAAAGTGGGTGTCCCTGTATGCAGTACGGCGCTCTGGTGGCATGAATGATAACCTGACAGCTGCATGGAAGCTCCTATTCACCAGTGTGTATAACTGCACCATACCGGGTTATGTCAATCACAATCACAGCCCGCTCGTTCGCAGGCCCTCTTTCCAGATGAGAACAGACCTGTGGTATGACCCAGCTGACCTGTTTGAAGCCTGGAGACTCTTCATGGAAGCAGCTCCTTCTTTTATGTCCAAAGAGACCTTCCAGTACGATCTAGTCGATGTGACCCGGCAGGTCCTGCAAGTTCTGACATCGTCTTTTTACCAGGATATCGCAGACGCCTTCGCCAATAAAAAAATGCCAGAGCTGCTGACTGCGGGTGGTGTGCTGGTGTATGACCTCCTGCCTGAACTCAACCGACTGTTGAGTAGCAACCAGAACTTCCTGTTAGGGACGTGGCTGGAGCGAGCCCAATCCAAGGCCCTGAACGAGAGAGAGGCACAGCTTTACGAAATGAACGCCAGAAACCAAATCACTCTGTGGGGTCCCAGCGGCGAGATCCTGGACTATGCTAACAAACAGTGGGGGGGTCTTATCGAAGACTACTACGCTCAGCGGTGGGGGTTGTTTGTCCAAACGCTTGTGGAGTGTCTGGACCGTGGACTTCCATACAAGCAGGCGACCTTCAACCAAGCAGTTTTCCAGGTTGAACAGGGATTCATTTACAATGGCAGGAAGTACCCAACCAAACCTCAGGGAGACACTTATGAGATCGCCCACAGAATTTTCCTCAAGTACTACCCTCAAGCCATGAAGAGACTACAACAACTACAACAAATGAAAGAAAACTCTCCCATGTCCCCTGTCCCAGGACTGTCCTATTTAAGTGGCAAATAGACACTGTCCACATATAAGCGGAAATGATCTGTTGGTATGATTTATTGAAATGAGCTGCTGATTGGTGTGTGTGATTCTATTGGGAATAACTGTTAATTTACTGATCACTTTTACAAAAATACTTTTTTAAAAAGGAGCATATTAAAGCTGCAGTATGTAATGTTTATAAAGAAAAATGTTTTTTAGCATGTTTGTTAATCCTTCCTGCGGCCTTAGCACAATGCTCAGGAGGACTGCGGCAAATGTCACGGTCAGACAGCTAGAAGGGCGACCCGTCAGACCGTCAGGTCCCCGAATCACACACAAAAGACTTCCAATAGTGTGTCAGTGATGGTGGGGGCTGGTGGGAGATGATGACTCCATCTCTTATGATGACCTTATGACAGATTAAACTGTCACTGTGTTGAAACTGTATATTGTAAAACAGAAGAAAAAAAAACATCTCAGTGCTCCTATTGCCAACTATAGAAATGACTATTTGCCCCACAATTTGGGAACCACTGGCTTAGGGTTAAGCAAATCCTAAATTTCACCTAGAATAGAAATAAAAGCCATGTGAAGGAATTCAAATATCCCATGGAAAGAAATTGGAGTAACCTGAAAATTTTTTTTATCAAAAGTGGAAATGAGAATGGAATAATTATTGACCTTATTCTGTTTTTTTGCACTGTAGAAAACTTTTTCTTCCTTGATTGATTAATGCCAATAGTCAAATACGAGCCAAAAACCAACACAAAGTATCTCCATCCAACAAAACCCAAAAACGTCTTGATGCATTTTCTCCATTATCAATACAATTTAGTGCATTCACAACCAAACGACACAGAAACTCAGTCATGAGGTTTTCCTTAAAGTGATACGACCTTTGACTCGGGATTTCATCTTGATTTCTCGATAAATGTGCCGAGGTTTCAAAGCTGCAGCATAGCAGAGGGCAAAGAAGAGGGTGTGAGCAGCATGTACATGAGTTGATTGAAAACACTAAGGACCTTCCTCTTGGCTCTGATTGGCTGTTTCTGACAGAACTGTGTAGATGGCTGTAGGGCCACAGGAAGCAGCAGAGGAACTTGATTTTTCTTTTTTCTTTTTTTTTTTCTTTTTCACATGTGGCCCTACATGCATACTGCAGCTTTAATAGTTAATGTGGTTGAAAATGTGAAGGCTGTCAATAATTGTTCAAATTATTTAGTGGGGTTTTGATTAAGATATATATTCACTGTTTGAGATGAAAGTCAACTCTGTGCTTGATGTGTTTCTGATCATTCCACTTTCGTTAAATCGTGCCTGCTCACAACAAAATCCATCTCAGGGGACAAACTGGTTCAGTACAATCCATACATCACACTAGGAGTCAGCATGTGGTTAGTGTAACAGCCAGAGTGTGTTTCTGTCCAAACATTTGGCTTCCTGCTCCTATTGCTCTATTTTCTAAAGTGAATTGTTAATAATAAATAATTAGATTTAGAACCATTTTTAGAGGAAACTATGATAATTTAGTGGCAATAATCAAGGTGAAATTACATTATTTCAACGAATGTTTATTTCAAAATATTTTTTCTTCCGGCATTTTTCTGTAATTAATGGAGTCATCTTCTCCGGTTCTTAGAAAGGGAGTTAATATTAACCTATTTGCACAACGTTTGAATTGAAAACAGTGCAGCCTAGTGCAGATTAGCTATGAAAGGTTTCATTTTAACTGCAAGAGAAAAAATTATGTTTTACAATATTTGTGCTTGACAGGTTGCATCCTCTCAACAGAATCCCACATCAGCCATGGCTAACTCTCCCTGTCAGCCCCAGTTAGCTGGTTCACCTCTTCACATCGTGCAGGAGCCCATCATGCTCAGCACTGAGTTAGTGCATGAAAATCTGCAGAACACAGAATACTGTGCAAAGGTTTTTCGGTCACAGAAACACTTCAGATGTAGCCTAGCTAATACTGAAGGTCCATGTTCTGTCAGGGCCGTAGTAGTGATAGAGTAGGTTTCTCTCTAGCTGCTGTGTTTTTAGTCGTTGTGCCACATTGAAGTTGAAGTTGTGATCATCCAATGATATTTTGAATTTTCTGCCAGGTATGCTGCCTTCATTTCCTATTTAGATGGAAATCTAATTCAATTTTTATTTTCTGTTGGTGGGGAGGGATCTTTTTTCTGTTTATTAATATTTAGAAATAAATTTTATTACATATTTTTGAATGACTTTTCATTCAAGTCAAAATGATTTTTTCTATGATTACATTGCATAATAAAATATTTTGAAGACAAGACTTCTTTATTTTACACTACTTAACATTTTTCTAGTAACATTGTTTCACAGATGTAGTAAATGATTCATAATTCAGATCATTATCATTATCCTTCCACCTCCTGCAAACTGGAACCCAGAACTACTATATTAGCATTGAGACGACCTGGATGAAGAAGCAGTTGCTTGCTCACATACAGCATCATATCAATCAATCAAATTTTATTCATACAGCACATTTCAGCTGCAAGGCATTTCAAAGTGCTTTACATCATGACAGACACAAAGTCACCAAGTGGGGGTTCTTGTCTTTGCATCCACAAAAGGTTTACTGTTATATGGATCAAAATAGGGTCTAGAATTCACAGGGTTTCTGTTTCACACAATGACCTTCAGTCACTGGCCGTTTTTCTACCGGCATGAGGCTCTGTACTCCTCTTTCACAGAAATTCACTCAGGGACTCCATTGTCCCTCACTGATTTTTGTGCAATTGCAACATAGAATCAACAATCAAAACATGACATTAAGTCAAGTTCCATCATTAAATTAGCAAATGATTACATTTCAAATACAATTCTAAACAGGGGTGCTTTTAGTTGAGATTTAAAGGAAGTCAGGGTTTCCGCTGTTTTAGTTTTCTGGACGTTTGTTCCAGCTGAAAGCTGCTTCTCCTCTTTCGGTTCTGGTTCTGGGGATGCAGAGCAGGCCAGAACCAGAAGACCTGAGAAGTCTGGAAGGTTGATACAACAACAGCAGATCTTTAATGTATTGTGGAGCTAAACCGTTCAGTGATTTGTAACTAACAACAGTATTTCAATCTATTCTTTGATCTACAGGGAGCCAGTGGAGGGACTTTAAAACTGGTGTTGTGTCTCTATCTTCCTGGTTTTAGTGAGAACGCGAGCAGCAGCTTCTGGATCAGCAGCTTCTGGATCAGTAGCTTCTGGATCAATTGCAGCTGCTGGATCAGTTGCAGCTTCTGGATCAGCAGCTTCTGGATCAGCAGCTTCTGGATCAGTAGCTTCTGGATCAGCAGCTTCTGGATCTGCAGCAGTTCGATCTGCAGCAGTTGTCTTGCAGATCGAACTGTTTGTGCTTTTCTCCATGGAGATTTCTTCCTACCAGACACAACCTTCATTTGAATCAATGATATCTGAAACTTTAGACTGAAAATCATCTACCAACTTATGTACATCATTACAGCTTAAGTGTGAGGGTGAGGAGTAGATTTGATTAAATGTTTCTGCTGTGTTTTCTATGAAAGAACATTTTGTGACAGTAGCTGTTTGTCCAAGTGGGTTAAAGGATAAAGAACTTTTAAAGATAACAGTGAAGTGATCCGACAGGGCGACATCAGTTACAGAGACATTGCAAATATTTACATCCAGACTGATGACCAGTAGGTTGATATTATCAGCACAGCATCCAGAGTATGAAGACAGGAGTGCAGCTCTAAACCAGTCGGCCCATGGAGGGAAAAAAGCAAAACAAAAAAAAACTGTACAACTTGAGTAATTCCTGGAAAACAACCTAAAAGAAGAAAGACATTTAGCATTTTTTTAAAATAAAAGACAAGGTTTATTAAAAAATAGCAATATTAAGGAAAACATAACATCTCAGTCTTTTTAAGATTAGAACAATTATTGAATAAAGTTTAGTATTACATTAATTCATTGTCACGGGTTAAAATGATGTTGCTTTGTACAGGACTGAAGCACTGAGATTTACTGTAGCATTAAAAAGCATCTCCAGTGTTTTAACAGTGGTACAAAAACTACATGTACAGTGGCTCTCAAACGGTTTCACCCTGTTAAAATGTTGCCTTGTGTTGTAGAAAACCTGACCAGCATTAATCACATCAAAACTTTTTGTCCCGCAATCTGAAATATATATGGTTTAATTCATCTCAGGGGAAAATCCAAAAACAAAGTTCAGCTGCCGCAGGAATTTCTGACAGTTGCTTTCTTTCTCTGAAGTCTCCGTTTCCAGAGAGGAGAAATGGCTCCAAAAGATCTGAACGTACAAAAATGAGACAGGAGGGCAGCGAAAACCCAACAGTGTTAAATATGCCATGGCACAGTAAACGCATGCCATCAATAATATGAGAAAACATGAGACACGCTGGCAGCGTCTCCAACATAGATGAAAGTCCAAACAGAAATGGACATGAACTCCATGGGAACGTGTGACAACCTGCAGGAAGCTGCAGCTGGTGTTCTGCAGCAGATCAAATCTGTTTATCCAAATGTCAGGAGCAGAGCTGGTAAACACAAACATTTCATTCCAAAAGGGATGGAAAAATACATTTCTTTTCTGTAGATTGAACCGAGGTTTGTACAGCAAGAACTCAAACTATGGATTGAGTTTTTTGTGTTTTTTTTTTTAAACCAACTATGACATGTTTCTTTAAGAGACTTGAATTATTTCTTGATATATAAATAAACTTTCGATTAAAGCTTTTTGATATGAAAATAATATAGAAAACAAAGATTGTGGAATCCTACACAATCTCCTTTTAGCAAATCAAGAGCTAAAAACCTCCAACACTTTAAAAAATGACTTAATGAGTTTTAGAAATTACAACAAAAAATAAAAAATAAATTAGATCGGTCAAACTGGTGAACAATTATTTATCCGTCAACATTAGGATGGGCTTTACATATGCATTTGTTCACAAGAACAACAACTTTGGTCTTTATATTCAGTCATTTTTGTTAGACTTGGTTTGACAGTAGTAGTACTGTCACATGTAGACAAAGTGGTAGATGAGCCATCATTCCAACTTTGGTCAAATAGTCAGATTAGCTAAAATCTAAGGGGCGGTCAGCGTTTTCATTCATAAAACGTATCACATTATTCATTTAAACACATTCAGACTGTTCACCAGCTTCATTCAGGCTAAAAGCAGCTTTTCCCACTTCATCCTCATACCGTCCAAAAGTCTAAATGATCAATGCGGAAGGAGACAGCAGAAAAAGTTCCTTTACAGCAACCAACAGGAAGAGGATTTAAATCCCAAATCCAACATTTGGGATTAACCATTAATAACCAACAGATGATTCCACAGAGTGAAATAATCTCCCACTGATGGTTGTTTGTTTCAAGACGAACCTCAGTGGAAATCAATTGGTGAGTCGAATTGAAAGGCTTTTTGAAATAATATTGCAACTCTAAAACCGAAACAAGCGGTGGAACCTCAGATTACTTCCTGTTCCTCACATCGTTTGAAGGTGGAGAGAAAAATTAGAGCAGCGAAGACGAGAGATGATTCCAAAAGGAAAATCTGGCTGCTGATCACAGCAACAGTAAAATGTAAATACATCAAGCTTCCTGTCAAGAGGTACGAATGAAAATCAAATATAAAAGTTTAAAACAAGGTTCAGGTCAACAGCAATGAGATCAGGTCAGCCATGAGATTACAAAAATAAAAATCAACCAACATCAAGTAGAAAGACCACCAGTTATACAGCATATAGCATTGATTTACACACACACACACACACACACACACACACACACACACACACACACACACACACACACCACACACACACACACACACACACACACACACACACACACACACACACACACACACACACACACACACACACATTAAAAAGACAGGGAGGATACCTGAGTTAGTCGTCAGTGGTTTAAAGAAAAGCACTAAATTAACAACTGATTCCAACATTATCATCATTTTCCAAGTCTTTTCCACCACTGGCTTCTTTAAGCTGTTTAGAAATGAGTTGCAGTTTATTCATGGACAGCTGATCAAACCCCTAATTTACTGTTTTTCAGTCCTGCTTTCTCCTGTAAACAAATATAAAGTCAGACAAGTTTTCAACTGAAAGCGATTTAAACTGAACAGATCTAATGAAAGACTCACAGATCTGTTTTTTATTCCTAAAGACATGGATCGGATCAGTAGCAGCATAACTCCATTGCTGATGAAGTTTTATTTTTAATTCCTCTGGAATGAACGAATGAATGAACAAATGATTAGTCAGGTGATCAGACTGGGAGTTTCATTAAGAGTTGATTATGTGCCTGACAGAGCCAGACAGTCTGAAAATGTCACTAATTTATTATATCTAGTCAAAATAGCACTTATCCAGTAGCATAAAGTAAAGTGATATCATAGAACACATATCTACTATCTTATAAAGAGATGAGAAAAACAGAAACGTGTTGTTCATTTGAAGCCTGCTAATAATAAAATGCTTTCCAGTAATCAGGGATGATGGTATGAAGGTCGCAGGTCAGCCTGCAGCCTGCGCATCTCAGCCTGCAGCCTGCAGCCTGCGCATCTCAGCCTGCAGCCTGCAGCCTGCGCATCTCAGCCTGCAGCCTGCGCATCTCAGCCTGCAGCCTGCGCATCTCAGCCTGCAGCCTGCAGCCTGCGCATCTCAGCCTGCAGCCTGCGCATCCCGCAATTTACAGGGTGTTTGGAGGAGGGTGGTTTCAGGAACCTAATCAGCTGGAGGGGTATGGCGCAGAAACATGTAGGATAGATGCAGGACGAACTCCTGGAACTTCCGGGTGGTACATTTTGTGGAATTAAATTGCAGAAAAACAACCCACAAGTTGTGGGAAATACAGGTTGCATTTTGTTTTAGTAACTTAAAATATTATTTATCCAGAACTTTTCCAAAACAACCAGCAGCTGAGGCGCCAACTCATGTTCACGACAATAAAACCTGTGATAAAATACGGGACGCAGTCGCCAACAGAAAGGCAGCTAAAGCCTTCAGGATAAGAAGAATCAATGGCGGCTCATCCAGTCTGCTCCAGTTTTGCGTTAGCTGAGAAGAAGACACAGTGGTTGCATGTGGACTTCAGGAGGTAGGCGGACTGAGCGCGCTCTGAGCGGCGTCACACAGGATCTGCTCCAGCACCGTCAGCAGGTGTTTCAAGCCGTAGATGTAGCCGTGGTCCAGGCTGTCGCTTGGGAAAACATGAGCAAAGTCGATCATTCTGACCTCCACAGCTGCATCTCCTGTCCCGCCCTGTCCGTCTGTCCCCCTCTGTCCCTCCATCCCATCCTTGTCCTCCTCTGTCCTGCCTCTGTCTCCATCCTGGTTTCTGTTCCCATTCGGTGACAGCTTCGGGTCGGCCTTCCTCTGATACGTGTTGTCTTCTTCGTACGGCGCAGGAGCGTGATCGGAGGCTTTCGTTACCTCGGCAACTACATCATCCACCCTGCTGAAGTGGAGGTGACCCCTGACACAGGGCTTGTCCCTGTCCTTCCTGTGATTGGTGTGAACCATGGAGATGCTGCTGTCCCATAAAACGCCCACTTCGGTGTTGTTGTTGTACTCGGCTAGCTTGTTTTCCTGTCCAGCTTCCTGCTGACCCGCTTCCTCTTCCTGGCTTTGACCGCCATCACTAACCAGCACCGAATGGGCGGTTTTCATCAGACCGTCGCTGACTGACGGGCCGATGAGGAGAGATGACAAAGAGGAGGGAAGACCCTCGTAGACGAAAAGAAGGGAGCTGGCGTAAAAGGCCAGCTGGTGCTGGGAGTGAAACCAGTTGAGAATGTGCTGCACCCTGCAGATGCTGGCCCGGACGGCGTCCCTCCTCAAACACACGCCGTTCTCAAAGAACGTAGCTAAACCTGCAGGGGAACATAGCTGTCTTTATCTCAACTGTTTGAATTGCTATTTATGAAAATAGTTAGGCAAATATGGAAGTGTGAGAATAAGATCAGATGGACAAACGCACCGTCTTTAACCGTGTCCTGAGCCAGGGCCCTTCCATAGTGCTGGTTGTAGGAGTTGAACGTCTCACTGCGAACATCATAGACCTGAAAAACAGCAAGGATTCATCAACATGGTGGTCGTCTTTCAACAAAGTCCGTTCATCATCAGCCTTTCGGGCCACCAGGCTTTACTTCAACACCACCTTACAGGAGCACAAGAATTTGATCTTAAAGTTGGAGTATATAACTTTATAAACAATGTTTTTTGTTGTTGTTTTTAACGTCGCGCTTATGAGACAAAAAAAAATTAAGTTCCTCTGACTTCTCTCTGAGTTTCTACAGTCATCATTGGTTGTTTCAGATACCACTCTGTCAGAAACAACCAATCAGAGACAGGAGGAGGTTCTTGGCGCTGTAAGTTATGCTAGTGTACGTGCTAGTCAATGTGCTGGTCAATCTTGGTTATTTCTGACAGAGTTTCTGACATCAAGGCATACTTTAACAAAAATGTAAAAAAAATAAAATAAAATAAATTAATAAAATATTGTTTATAAAAGTTACTCACTGTATCTGGCCCAAGCAAATACAGTAAAGAAATAAAGTATAGATTTTTCATGCTTTGGATCTGAAGAGGCTCCATTGTTTCAGTGCAAAGCCTGACAGGTTGTGCTTTTGTTTTTACAGGAGGCCAAATGGACTGCAGCAGAACGCAATTGATACGTTTAGCTCTGTAAATGACAAGGCAGCTAAAGCTAAAGGTAATGTAGCGCTGCACACAGCTCACATAGCTCACACGGCTACAGCAGGTAAACCTCACAGCATCAGTTAAATGTGGCATCACTGTGAAGAGGTGGATGCCGTGGAGAGGCTTTTGGGCCAAATGTCCAGACTCTGGAGCTCCTCCTGATCAGCTGCTATCTGGGTCGAGTCAGTAATGTTCAAGCCTCTCACTGTACAGCTGGACTCACCTCAGATCTGGATCATTTGTTAGCAATATGTCAACCATCTCTACAATATGAAACTCTTAACAGCTTTATGCTTAAACAGTTTTAACATGAAAATAAACATCAACTCCACATGGCAAAAAAATATTCCAAATATTATTTATACTCAGTCAGTTATTAAGCTATCATAAAGAGCTAACCCTCATGCCCAGGATCAGGAATCCGATCTCCTCCATCAGAGGGTATTTTCTGATCTGTTGCTCCCGTTTCTCCTGTGAAGCCAGCGGATCATAGCTTCTGCGGCCCAGCTTCACATCCATGATGCACGGCTTGTTGAAGCGACTCGTCACATCCTCCAGCTTCAGGTAGAGCTCTGCGTCAACGACATCACAAAGCGTCATCATACAGAAATGAGTTTCCTTTTGTCATTTAGGCCTTTTAGCATAAATTGTCACGTTGTGAAAAGGAGATGAGGTCATAGTTTATTTCTCACCGTTTGGGCTGTCAGGAGAAGACCAGGTGCCGTAATATTTGGGAAGGTGTTTCTGGAGGTCCAGCAGACAAGGATCAGAGCAGTCCTCTGCAAACACCTGTGATGACCATACAGATTGACACACACAATGAAACTCATGCTGTATTGTCAGACAGACCAGAAGCAGAAACACCTTTGACTTGTATGGAAATGTTTGAGGCTTTACAAACAGAATAAAAACAGAACTATCAGCAGTTTTAATGTCGTCAAGATTTTTTTTTTTTTGGTCTCCAATGAATATTTAAGTAACCTGGTGTGTATTCACACCTGACGGTCTTGGTAGACTCGATTCTACTGGGGACCAAAACTACAACATTTGCTCCATTTCCAGCTGCTGCGATTCTCTTTCGGACGAAACTGTGTAAGACAATCCAAACCATTTTAAAAAACCTGTTCCCCACCTCACCTGCGGGGGAGCTGCAACAAGAACCACTGAAGGAAAGAACACAAAAGCCTCTGAAGAAGACACTCAGCACAACCTCCTTCTCAAAATGTGAACAATGGAGTGTCGTCATACTTTAGTTGTGAAATGATTTCTTTTTTAAATTTGGTAAAACTCTATGAGCCATTTCTCCCGCTAAAGTCACAATTGTTTTGGTTGTATTTACCCAGAATGCCTTGCACTATAATCCATTTTCTCCTTTTGGAATGGATATGTCTGCTTGGCAATTGAACTGCACCAGAGTTCTCCTCAATTGAACCGACTCTTAGGTTTGTCGGCAGACCAGAGTTCACTTTTTAGGTCCTTCACACTTCACCAAACCAATCAGACTTTCTGGACAAATGGACTGGAGTTCCACTAAAGCGAATTCACCAAGGTTGGTGTGAATGAGCCCTTAGGAACAGGAGCTGAAACTAGATTCCTAGGATCCTAAGATGTGGATCACAATGAACAGGAGAAGATTCCAGATCGGAGCAGCTGGCTGAACTCAGACGCTGCGATCAGGTGAGGAGCAGCTTGAAGCTGTTCTCTTACTGTGAATCTATAAGAATGTTATTTCCAACCATGTTCAAAACTAAAGGCGTCTTTTGAATTAGAGGTGAAAAGTCTCCAATAGACAGGGGAAGAAGTCCAAGTTACCTCGACTGGAGCACTCGGCTGAGAACCTACACCAGTCCACTCCAAAAATCCAGTCAAAAATCTGTTTCTTTTTTCCAACCCCACCCCCCAAAAAAACTAACTGAAATATTTGTCTGGAAAAAAGTGAGAATTTTATTTACCATGCTATAAAACTGCATTTCTCGTGGTCCTCTGGGTGGAGGCTGAACTTGCTTCAAGACTGTTCCATCTGGATGTTGTAAAATACCTGCAGCACACACAGTATGAATATTCAGTTATGTTTATGAATACAATGCTTATGCTGATTTATGCAGAAAAGAATTATGCTAATGACCATCAAAAGAATTCCGTATCTGCTTTATTCATTGTTTTGATCTATTATTGTCCCGAGCCTGTTCGGAGAGTTGAGCTTCCAGGTGTAAAGGATAACCTCAGGCAGGAACATGAAGAGCACAAACATGGCAGATCAACTATTGAACATGATGTTTCTGCTCCAGATCAAGTGACTGACGGGAAAGGAATTGGACACTGGCAAAAAGGTAAGATGCATTTAAGATGTTTCTTGTATGGATAAACTATTATTCACATCTTGGAGGTTGTGAAGGATTCTACTAAACACTCAAGTCTTCAGGGTTTTTCCATGGATCTTCAATGACATTCAGGAGCTTAATAGGGTCATGCAAGCACTGCTATGCTCCTTCTTATGAAAATGCCTGTTTTGTTTGCTGTATGTTTAGATTCATTGTCATGAGAAAATATCCACCTTCAATTATCTGTCAACTCTTAGCATTCATTATCCAGGAAATTTTATCTATCTTTCAATTACATAAAGTCTTTACTCTTTACCAACCCCTCCAGCTTTTTATAGCAATCAAAATAACAGATTTGGTGGTGCAAATATCTGCAAGGAATTAAGCAACATTCTTATAAAAATGTGACTTTTTGTTTTAATTGTATAAATATTGCCCCCTGCAGGTGGGAACTATCAGTCATGGAAGTCCAATGTTTTGAGCATTTTTGAGAGAGAAAATACATATATATGAGCTACAATCATTCAAATTGCTAAAAAAATAAAAGCTTAAAATGTTTTTGCTCTGCACGTAATGAATATCTTTAAAATGACTGTTTCACTTTCTGAGACGACTGACAAGATATGATGAAATTTTATCCAATGTTCTGTGGGGATGATTTACAGCACTCTCAAAGATAAAGATTCTTGAATGACTTTTCTGATCTGTTCATTGCCGAGACATGAGAATCTTTCTGTCACTGGGAAACATGACAAAATCCTGTATGTCGACCTGGTAAGTCAATGACAAACCAGTTATTAAAATTACTGGTTTTTAATCTTGCGCAACCCGTCTCTCTGCCTACACAACAATGTGGAAACACACTGCAGCTTGTTGTGAACTGTGATTTTTACTCTTTGCCCCATTTTAAGATCACTAGAGGAACAGGAAGGAGGCCTGGAGAAGGGGCTTATCCATAACTCATAACCAAGTGAAAAGGTCCCATCTTTCTTTGTAGTGAAACATTTTTATATTCAGCTATTTTAAAAGCTTATAATGTACATAAGAAGGGGAAAAAATGTTAATAGTTTTGGACTAAATTGACAGACCTTTCATAGAAGTGCACTTCTCTTTGCCTGTAGTGGGAAATGTTATCATCGTAGTTAATATTTGGCAGGTAACCGATTAATTATTGACAGTGTATAAAAGTTTATAGGCATAAAAAATGCTGTCTCTTTTACAAAAGCTGGACACTGTAGCTTGTACCAGCTATAGCTTTTAGCCCGGCTCTTACTGCAGCACACCTTGTGCAATACAGCTTCTTACCTCAGCTGTTTACTTAAATATGATTATTTTTGACACCGGCCTTCATTTGTCACCAGAAATGAGGAAGCAACTCTTTACACAGTGAGACTGCAAAAAATTTAATGATTAAATTATATTTTATCCCTGAATGGCTACATTCATAAAGCATGTTTAATGTTCAATTCTAATTTTTGGCTGAAATACGATTTTTTTTTTTTTTTTGAATGGTCGCTCATACTACATGCAATCGCAATGACAGATCTGTGTGAACCGTTTCTGTGTGACGAAGACGTCACACAGCAGCCACATCTGGCTTCTTCTGGTGTGGAATTATGACGCACGTCTCATGTCCATGAGTGAAAAAGTCGGATAAAATATCCGACTAAGTGTCAAACTTTGAAAGAAATATATTTAAACATTTACATGTTAGTTGTCTCACTGAAATAAATAATAATGTACTAATGTTTTGAACAATATTTAACGTAGTTTAGTGAGGCCTTTATTTTTATCTTAAATACCACAGCTGCTTGAGCTGGTAGACAATCTGGTTTTGTCATCTATATATTAATGCTTTAAAGGAAAGTCATCAAAGACGAGTGAACTTCACATTTCTGTTGTTTCATGTCAACACAGGTTTTCCCCAGTTCTCCCCATCCAGGGAACTTTTCAATCACACTACCAGTGGGGCTAACCAACAAATAAATATGATCAATTAATCAAATTTGCTGTTCACAAAGCATTAACTTTTGGAAAATCTGCTTTTTTTGCACCATTGCACTCCTTGGCCTTCCATAGTATAGAATGAAGTCAGTCAGACCGGCCAGGTCTTGTTTTATGAGCCGGTTTTACTGCTTGCAGTTAGTTGAAAATCAGGCCAACTGTCGGTAGGGATGACTGACATAAAAGCAAGTTCTTGAAAATATTTTCTATACAAGCATTTTTAAACCAGTTTTTAAAAGTTTCACACATGAATACATTTGATATTGACATTGTAAGGTCTTTTTAAGAGGTGAAAGTGAGAAATCACACATCGGACTCAGTATGAAAAACATTGGATCTGTTGTGTTTCAGCTACATTGTCCAACCCTCAGTATGGACTCCAGGTACTGGACAAGTCAGGTTTAAATCTATGACTTGAGTCTTGACTTGCTATAAATCAGAAATGTCTTGATTTCTCTTAGATTTGAGCCTTTTAAGTTGACATACCTTAATATCTTACACAGAGTGTAACAATGGAGCCATTCTGGATTTTGGGGAGGGTCCATTTGTAGTCCATTGAACACCTTTTAGCAGAGTATCTCCATATGTTGCTGCAACACGCATGCTACAGCAATATGCATGCTACAGCAACACACAAGCTGCAGCAACATAGAAGCTGCAGCAATACGCATGCTGCAGCAGCATACATGCTACATCTCTCAGGCCACTTGCCCAGGTTGGCCTTGTAAATGAGAGCTAAATTTAACACTGTAATTATTCAATTTAAATGAATAAATTGGATAAATAAATGAATGAATGAATGTTAGTTCCATGTTGTTCGACAACAGTCAAAAAAACCTATGTGCCATATTTCTGAAATTCCCTTCTGGTTGTTGGGGCCAACAAATCCATCTTTTCAATGTATAAGTTTGAGAGTTCATTCATTATTACTGTGATTAAAATTCAAGTTTAAGGCCTGAACTTGGGACTGGCCTGTGTTTGCTTTGAACCTGAACCTTGGTCACACCCCTGCGAACAAATCGTTTTTCCTGAAAATATCTGGAATGATCCACACCCTTTTAAATGAATCATTCATCCACAAACAGCAGGCTCTACAAACGTCTGACTGCTGCTGCTGGGTTTCTATCACTCTTACTGCCCCCACTAGTAAATCATTAACCACGTCCAGATATAGTTTATTAATATACAGGCCTTTCCTTACCAACTTTCTTCACTCCATACTTGTGACCTGCCACCTGATGAGAAAGTGGGACACAGCCGTTCAGGTGAGCGAGGTCCTGTGGTCCCAGAAGCTGCTGGCCGGACTGGTTCATGGAGGCGCTGTCCCCAACAGCGGCCAAGCCGGGGCTCAGGTCCAGTTTACCGAGCGCTTTGGTGGACTCCATGACGTTAGCTCCTGACATCTCGAAAGTCCAACACAGAGAGCGGGGTCGAACGCCGAACGTAACGCTCCAAAGCCATCAATGTAGCGCTTCGCTTATCCCACCGTCATTTCGCAATCACACAATTCTGATGCAAATGTCAAACGCCTTCGAGTGGAGGCTGGTTCCGGTGAAACCAGAGGAGCAGGTAGTGAACTACCGAGCCACGCCACGGCACACAGCGCGGCGTCCAGCGGAGACGCTTAGCTCCCCGTCCAACGCTGATTCAATGGTTTTCATTTCTGGAACAGCGACACAAACACATCCTGACCACTTCCTACTGCCGTTAATGTGAGCAGAGCCAGGGTCGGCTTCCGGTTGTTGCCTACAAAATAAGAGAAACGAAGAAGCTCTAAATTCAGCAATGATGATGATGATGATGATAATAATAATAATAATAATAATAATAATAATAATAATAATAATAATAATAATAATAATAATAATATACGACATCTCATTTATGTCTATAAAACGTAACTGAAAACTATTTCTAGCATTCCTTACTATTAAGGAGTTTAATTAGTTAATTACATATCAAAGGTAAAATTAAAATGGAGAGTTCAAGGAATCCTAGCTTAATAAATCGACTTCCGGTTACTCTTTCCCTTTTTACCACAGTTACCTGATAAGCTTAAACTACCAGCAAGTTTTCTCTGAATCTCATCTAACAGACCAGCAAGATGTCAAAAATGTCCCACAATTCAAATCCAGAGATTTAGAGGACGCAAACTGACCTGAATTTATGTTGTATTGAGAGTAAGCTCAACAATATCCTGCATTGTTTAAACTTTGAATTCAAGCTTCATGCCTCATATAAAAATGTTCATTCTTCCATCTAAGAAGATCACAGCTCATTTCTATTATAATTCACTTCATTCATTCAATGTCAGTTCACAAGAAATGGCACATAAAATCTCATCTACACCGAAGAAAGTGCAGTAAAGCAGACAAAATCAGTTTAGAATATATTTATGATGATTACAAGTAGTGAGGAATGAGCTGAGATAATAGATGTAAAATGAGCCAAATGTGGCAAAAGTGACAAAATTCAGAAAAGAAAATGAAGAGATTTATTAAAGCTATCACATGTTTTTAATGCTATGGGTAAAGTCAAAGAAGTAGACAAGAAAAGATACAACACTGAAAGTATGACATATTGGATTGAGTAAGTTATTGTTCATACTTGAAAACAATTAAAATAAAAAATACCATCTATGTATGGAAGATGACGGAAATATTAAGATGACAGAAGTGATGATTTAAAAATTAAATATTGAAACGAAAGATGGGTCATGGATATGCACAAACATATCTACTTGCACATGAGAAGAAGGAAGGCCCTGCTGTGCTTGAGCAAATGTTTTATCGGGTTTTCAACAACTCAATGTGTTCAGTAGAATTAATTGTTGATGAAAAAAAAAATCTTAGTTTCACTTTTGTTCCATATTTAATATGAATAAATATAAAGACACAAGAGAAATGAATTGTGGCCATGTTGACAGGAATATACCATGACACAGCTTTGTGTGTCCAGAAGCAGTCATCTGGCAGGCTACCACTGTGTGAAGGAAAAACAACTTTGTGAACAAATGACCTATTGCTGTTTTTTAAAGCCTCATTTAGAATGAAAGGTAAATACAATGTAATGAGCCTGGTGAGCATGTGACCATCAGAGGCAAGTTGTACATGTCTCATATCTGTCTGAACTTATGTTAACTATCCAATAAGACTGCCGACATACATGTTATTGCTGTTGCTGTTTACTTTGATCCTTTTATACAACCTATTCACTAGTTACAAGAAAAGTCCAGATCAATATATATTTATATGGACTTTAAGGAAACAGTTTAAACATCAATCGTATTTATTACGATTCTTTCGGTAGGTATTTAAAATCCTTCACATTCTTTAGATAACATTTTCAGTCCCACTTCTATCAGTTTACTGCATCTTCTGCTTAAACCAAGGCGTCTAAAGGGAAAAACAGCGCCCCCCAGAGTCACAATATACGTCAGTCACAAAATTAGGCTTCTGGTTTTACAATGATGAAAATATGATTATTTTTGTTTTTCTGAAGGAAATTATTTTCTGTTTTTAATGTTTTATATATGAAACGAAAAAGAAACCAAACATAAAATTTCCATCACGGCTTTTTAGCCACACAAACGATAAATATTCATATTTGAATTTCACAATTTGTATTTTAAGACAAAAATAAATAATTACTTCTTTTTTTTGTCATTTCTGGATTCTGATTGAAAAAATCATCAATATGTACACGGAGCATCGTCCTACAAACTGTAAAGTAAAATTATCCTTTATCAAACGGGGGCGGTTATTCACAACATGTCCGTTACCGCCAGAACAAATAGCAGCAGAAGAAGAAAACTACAAAGAAGAAGAAGAAGAAGACGAAGAAGAAGAAGAAGCGGTTTACCACTGTGTGCTGTTGAGAGCGATCAGTGAACACAGCAGTGAGAAGAATCAACCTTGGAAAGAAACGATCGACGCCATTTCAAAGCCAGGGACAAAAGCAAATTGAAAGTATTTTAATTTTTTTTGTATGCTTCCTTCCCGTAGTCGAAGCTTCTTGAAAACTACCATTTTAAATCAAAAATAACTTCATTTTTCTGGAGAAATAAAGACTGAAGCTAAAATACAGATGCTAATGCTGTTCTGGAAATGTTTGGCATATTGATGTAGAAGCTGAATCTGATGCCAATACATTCATTTCCGGGACAGGATAAGATAAGAAGGTGATATGGAGGACGAAGTTTGCTTGGATTCGCCTTTACAGAACTCAGTGTAATAATGTGTTTATACACTGAGTGAATAGAGAAACCTGAGGTCTGTCATATCAGCCAGACCTGAAGGAGAGAAACAAACTGCTTCTAGAAATGAGCGATTCGGGGAATCCAGCCGGCGTCCCGAGCTGCTCCGGCTTTAGAAGCGGGCCAGAGCGGACTGGAGGCGCCGAGCAGAGCCGAGTCTGGGGCCTGAGTTCAACTGGTCAGCGGGGCAGATTGTCATCGCTCAGAACCAGGGACCTGACGCTAGGGGGCGCCTTCAGGAAGACAAAGGTAGGGGCCGCTTTTTAGACAGTTTGCTGAAACACGAGAATCACACGAATAATGTAAAGCACTTATGATGTAATTATTAATTATAACGGTATAATTATGATAACACACAATAAAGCCAATCCTGTTAAATTATTTAAAGAGCTGCTGATTAAGTTTTTTTTAAATACACCAATAAAAAACACTCAGTTGAGATGGGCTTCTTCTGAAAGAAGTGTGATTTATATCACTAAGCTCCACACAGTAACCGTATTATTTTTTTTTACTAATATCCATGCATTTTCTTGCACCCTGCTAACTCCATGCAGAAACTCTTCAGGCCAGGAATAGAACCCATGACCTCCTTGTCAAACCCAAACTTACTGATTTTTTTATTTATTTTTTTTTTGCAAAAGTAGCATTTCCAAATGTACTGTCAGTATTGTTTTATTATTTACCATCAATAACTGAAATTTATTCTGAAAATTATAAATCAAAAAGTCTTATGATAAACAATTTTTTATGATACAGCATGTGCGGCTGTTGGAAAAACCCTCTGCTTACATATCTTTGTTTTTTGTTTTTGTTCACTGTACAAATAAGTTAATCTGAGCCAAGTTCATTTGTATTTGTCTAAGCTAAACTAATATGTATGCAACATTTCTTTTTTTTTCCCATCAATACAAATATTTACGATATATCCTATTTATTCTGTTTCTCTGCTCTGTAGAAGACATGGGAGCCTAACGTCCACGCTGTGAGAAAACCGAAAGATGAGTGAGTGACTGTTAAACTGAAATAAACACTGCATGTTTTTGCAAGAGCCCGTCTGTGATCCAGCTACCTTCCTCAGGCTACAAACAGAAAACCCAGCGGCTCCCAAAAAGGAAAAAAGAGAGAGGGATGCGAAGAGAAAAGAGAGCAGAGGTGGGAGGAAAGCGAGACCTCAGGTCATCCAGTCCCACTCCATCTTTGAGCAATGTCCTGGCGTCTCAAATTACAGAACAGGTGGGCCTCCTCTGTCTTCTCTCAGCCTCTCCTGTCATTCTCAGTGGCACATGAGCACACTTGGACTTGATGAACTCCGGGTTGATGTCGTCCTTCTCCCTCCAGGCCGGCATGGTGCCAGAGGCCTGCAGAGCTCCTCCACATCTCCTGTTTGCAGACCCGTGAAAAAAGAAGGGAGGAATTCGATGGAGGATGAAGATCATCTTCTCAGTAAACTACAGCGAGACGACGTGAGTGATTCCTGATGCAGCTTTGTACGCCCATTAGGATTTATTCACACGTTACTTCAAATCATTTTTCCTGAGAAAAATGAAAAATTATTTTTTCATTTTTTTAGGTCACAGGCTACATGTGACTTAAAACAACATGTGTACCTCTGGCTTTGGAAGGGGCAGTGAAAAGCACCTGAAAGATTTCTGTTTTTTTTATCCTCTTTTTGTACCACGTTTTTGATCACTAAACTAATTTTAATATCAGTCAAAAAGCTGGTTATAAATGATAATTTTATGTAGTAACGGAGAGAAGTGATCCAACTTTCAAACCAAGCCCAGTTGTAACATCCATCTGTATTGTTAAGTCAGTTGTTTTTGTTATTGCAGGCATTAAAAAAACAGCTTAACCCGTTGGATCAGTCGCGCTGCATTGGACACAGTAAAGGTTGTCTCAGGACTCTTCAGAGTAAAAGCAAAGATATTCTCTGGTTCTAACTCTGTGTGTTTGCTACTCCTGCAGTTCATAGTTGATCCAGAGTTGAGGAATGACGCCCACCTGAACCCCATCGCCCTGCCTCTTTATCAGTCCAGCAGCGTCTCCAGGCGCCCCAGGTCATCCACCGCGACACGTAAGAGATCAGCCTGGGTATCACTGCTTCTACTTGTCCACTCTGCTTCCTTTTTACTTCCTGTCTTCAGTCTTTCAGCTTTCAGGCGGTTCTCTACAAATAAATAACAGCAAAAGCTTTGCGACTCAGTTTTGTTTTCTCCAGGTTTATCAGACTCAATTTAAAATGAAGTGTTTGCATGAACTAAGTGTTAGATTATGGCCATTCACAGCAAGTTATTGTAGCTTTTTATAGCTTTTGTGTTTTAATCAGTTACTTTGTTTTTCATTCGAATTGAACAGAATATCATGATCTTAAAGCTCCAGTACGTAGCTGTCATAAACAATATCATTTTTATATATTTGTTAAAACTGTCACCATATCATGACAGTTTAACATGAGAGATATTCTGCGAAAAAATTCAAGCTCTTCTGCCTTCTTCCAGTGCTACTGCAGAAGTGCAGCTAGCATTGGTCAGAAAACAACCAATCAGAGCCTGGAGGGTCTTCACGCTGTCAGTCATACTTGTGTACACACTGTTCAGTGTACCAATGGGAATGGAACAACTTACCATTCAAGGAAAACTGCATTTTCACCGTTGTCAGTGCCCATGCTAACTAGCCTGAGCATTAATTTAATATTAAGATCCGCTGTGGGAATTTAGCTGTTCTGATTGGTTGTTTCTCAAAGAGTGCTGTATTTCTGCAGATGGCAGTAGGACCACTGGGAGGGAGAGGAGCTCAATGTTTTCACAGATTATCTGTCTCATATTGGTGAAAGCTTTAACAAATATGTAAGAAAAAAACATATTGTTTATAAATGTTACATACTACAGCGATAAAGGAGTTTTGTTGTTAATAATTTAAAGCTTTGTGTTGGGAGAAGAAGAACAGGGTGTGTCATAAAATGTGACTCCAAAGCTTCATCTCCTTAGCTGCTGCTCACAATGATGCATTACATTTTCTCAACAGGTCAAGTCGACCTCCCGGTCTTAACAGCGCCACACTGTGGTGCCGATGGAAAAGCAGGCCTCTTGACTGACTGGCAGAAATCGGAGCAGTTGTCTCTGGTGAAGATGCTGCAGGAGCTCAGTGTTTCAGGAGGAGAAGAGCTGTTCTTCATGCAGTTTCCAGACTGTCTTCCTGGCAGACACTCTGCACCTAAAGCAGGCCTTCATCATGGAGGGTCGACAGGGAAACCTTCAAAAACAGACGCAAAGTCAGCACAGCAAGTGAGTGAAAACTGCACTTTCTGCCACGACGCTTTCCAATAATACTTGATCAGCTAAAAGTATAGGCTTGTTCAGCTGGTTCAAATCTGACAGTTTTCTCACTGTTTCAGATTTTCATTTTATTATTACAACTTTATTAAAACAATGGTTTTAACTCATTTCCATAATAGCAAAGTATAAATGTTTTGTAGAAATTTATTTAAATTTCTACAAAACAAAATGTACCACATATACTGTAAGTAATCACAGCCTTTTGTCATGAGGTTTGAAGTTGAGCTCATCACTGATCAGCAGTGGGTTGGACATGATTAGGAAACACATCATATACATACATATGGTTTTAAAAATCAGCTTAGATCACCATAATTTGTTTTTTTATCACAAAAAAATAAAATAAAAACCCCAACAAACTGTAAGTGAAAATGATTTCTTTAAAATAACCACAGTTAAATAAAATAGAAAAAAGAATCATAAAGGAGGGGCTCTACCTAGATCAGGCTGTCCTCACAACATGAGAGACAAGGAAGCAGACTACTGAGAGGACACCAGGTTACCATGACTACACTGAAGGAGTTCTCTTCTTATTTCTTTCCCATATTTTAGTCTCACTCTGCCTCTGCCATAATAAATGTTTTTATTTTACATTGACTTTAAACAACAGAGATGTTTGTAAAAGCCTGTAATTCAAAAATGGAAATAAAATATGCAGAAACCTGAAAGGTGGTAGTCATGACACCTGGTCCACTCATATTCCCGTCTTTCTCCAGGAATCCGGCAACATGGACGGCTCCCTTGTCCTCTCAGAATTCCCTGAGGGATTTTTGGGGAAACTGCAAATCAGGAAGTCAGGAAAGGTGGAGCTAAAGCTGGGTGACGTCATCCTGGATGTGTCAGAAGGAGCTGCATTTTCCTTCCTGCAGGTCAGTGTTTCTGTTCCCAGTGGATGTCAAAATTATTCCAATATGTTGGATCGACATATTGGAACAGAGTTAGTTATTAAAGCACATTTGAATTTATTTTCCGTGTCGGTCTTTGGACTAAAAGATCACTTTATTTTGTTTGAAATTAAATCATTTATAGTCATTTATCATCTAGGTTTAGTTGGCTAAATCGAAACGTGGTTCTTGTGAGATGTTGTTGCTCCTCACTCTGCAAAAATGTTTACATTGTCATGAAAATGTAAAATGCTCCCACACCTTTCCTTCTGTTTGCCATAATATTTTAGTATTCTGATTATTTCAGTAATATTCAGTGTTTTCTAGACCAGGCTTCTTCTCATTGCTGCAGGAGCTCAGTGTTTCAGGAGAAGAGCTGGTGATGGGAACTTCCATTCCCATCATCTCTGACAGGAATGATGCTTCTTTTTTATCTTTCAGCAACTGGTGTCGGTCCGTCTGTCCGGTGGGAGAACTGGGAACATGACGGTGCTGGGAAACGTCCGTCACAAGCTGGTTTTGTCTCCTGACTTCCAGTCCTTGTTGAGGCAGGCGGATGCAGAGCAGCCATGAGGCTCACGTCTGCAGACTGTGAACTTCTGGACTATTGGACTAAAATGACAGTTCAGGATTTGTTACTGAAAAAGCATTGTTTTCATAAAGATGACTTATTTTTCTACTTTCACTGTGAGAAATCTGTAAACGTATTTAATCTAAAAAAAATGTTGTTTTTGAGACTAATAAATGAGATTCATTCTGAGCTCGAGGTGAGTTCTGAATATTCCCTCTACAATTAGTTCCACCAATTACACCGGGGTTGTCACACTTGATTATATTTTGAGCCTAATCAAGCTTTCAAACCTTGAGTTTGACACATGTGAAATGCACCATGCTAGTTTCAGGTTGGACACCCTCCTTGCCTCCAGAACAGTTCTAGTTCTTTAGTGTTTATTCAACAAGATGTCAGAAACATTCCCCAGAGATTTGGTGTCAATTGGCCCAAAGTTGCCTGGTAAAAAAAAAAAACAGCCCCTTGTTCTGCCTATTTGCTTCATCCAGAGCATCTGAGAAACGATTGCTTCCTGGACGAGTGAAGTTTTAATTTTACCCAATTACTAGTTTGTCCATGATGTATATAATGAACCAGTTCAACACTGAAAAGCTAAGAGAAAAGTCCTTGTGCTGTAAACAACCATCCTTCACTATGAAGAGAGAAGAACTGATCCAAATGAAGCGACTGTTAATGTTAATATTCGGGAAGTCTGACCAACACGGACTGAACGGCTTCCTTCACTTCCTCTGCTGCCGTCGCTAAAACTACCAGCAGACTACAATTTTAAAACAGAGCAGAATTCACAACGTCCCCTTCTGTTTGCTGGCTGTCCTGAAGGAATCCAAGTAAATGGGAGAAAATTCAGCCTGGGCAGTGAAGCAAGAATTGAAATGAGCAGAATTGCACAACAAGGCACTGACCAGGTTAGGTCCAAATGTTCCCCACAACATGATGTCATCACTATAAAGTTCCTTGAGTTATTGTGACTAAGTATTAAATTCATTGCTAAAGAGAACATACTATTGTAAAAATGTTCATACAGTCTTTACATGACATCCATATTACTGCCTTCAGATGCAGCAACAAATGTAGACAGCAGTCAGGATCCACCATATCCCTAACTCTTATTAGAAAAACAACAGACACTGATGGTTTTCATTTTCTTTTTGTAACAAATACAGAATATCTCATCAAGGGTCAGTCTTTCCAGTAATACTATACTTCAGAGGACTTGCTTTTGGACAGAGACAGTCAAAGCACACAAGACAACTGTCTCTAAATGTCTCTAAAAAAAAACACCTTCCAGTCTTACTATCACCACAGATGCTAGTTTGAAGGAGAAAATACTGTAAAATCAAATCGACATGATTCAGATTGAGCTGCAACAGAAATAATGAACTCACATTATGTAAAAATAGACCTATGAAAGGTAGAGGTTTATTTGATAGTATATGTAAAAGAAGAATATGAGTCCGTTCTAACGTGATGTGGCCAAAAAAAAGAGAAACGAAGCAAAAAAAAGGTGAGCTAGTTTCAGTCGTTTGAACTCACTTCTAATCACATCTTAGGCTTTTTTTGCGGAGCCTTTTCAGACAGTTTTAGCTGAAGCACTCGGTTTTGCCTTGCTGGATGTTTTTGACTTCTGTGTGGGAGTGGCCTTCTTCACCGATTTAGCTGCAGTCTTCTTTTTTGTTGTTTTCCTCTGAGTTTTTTTAATTTTCCTCTGGGTCAGTTCCCGGACTAGATCTTCACGGCCGATATCCACCATGTGGTCCTCCCATGACTTGATCTCGTTCTTGTAGCGGATCTTGTCGTCCTCAGCCAGCTGGATGTAGACCTGGGACGTGGAAAAAGGATCAGCAGAAGGTCCAGATACACTCGGCAGGTGAGCAAACCAAAGAAAAATGTCAATCGTGGAGGAACCAAACCTGTTTCTGATGGCTGAACAGATTCCTCCAATCATCCAACAGCGACTTCAATTTGGCCTGAAACATTGACAACAATATATTTTTTAGTAAATTTCACAGTTTTTTACAGTTTACATTCTTCACTGTAAAGAAGTTAAGGTACACCCTGGTACACATAACCCAGCTGTTAGTCATGCAGACTGCTTCTATACACATTGGGTTGTTCTCAGGAGCTGAGTGAACCACTCAGCTATCCTCTCTCATGAAATGAGTGGATGAACCTGAGCATTAAGTTTGTGATTAAAGTTCCTCACTACTGAATTCCCCGGTCAGCTGTTGGTGACGTAACAAAGTGGAAGAGAATGGGGACCGTAGTGTGGTCATCCCACCTCACCTGGGTGGTGTTTCCTCTGGCCTCCTGGAAATGCTCCGACATGTAGATGTTGAAAGGAGATCGACACCGTTTGGGTTTCCCAAGGATGTTCAACTCCTGAAACACACACACACACACACACACACACACACACACACACACACACACACACACACACACACACACACACACACACACACACACACACACACACACACACACACACAGTATGGAAGGCAGGGCACAAAGAAGGAAGGATGAAAGGAAGGAACCATCACTGAGATTTTGGAGGTGGAATTAAAATCTGAAAATATCTGCTTTGTTTTTCCACATTTATCCTGAGATGTAATTCCAGACTTTTCCTCCAGGCTGTGTCAGAAGAACCTTGCATGCCAAACGGATGATCATCTTCTCACCTTCTTCTTTCTGATGGCCTTTCGTTTAGCTCTCCTCTGCCTCTTCTCCAGAACCTGCTGCTGGAGCTGAGCTGGGCTCAGCTGGGCCTGGTACTTCTGGAGGTCCACCTTGAACTGCTTCATGGCCTGGACCGAGGCCTGCTGGAACGGCTGGAGGAGAGACAACAGATTTAGTCCACAGCCGGGGCTTCAGCAGGCTGACATGATGATTAATTACCACATGGAGGCAGCAGCAGGTAGAAGCCTGGAGCCACACATGAGAACGAGTCTGACACTAAACACACAGTGAGTCTGAAGAGTTTGGTTTTTATTTCAGGAACTCTACAGCAAATCCTAATGGAGTTAGTAATACCTGTTTCTGCTCTGGGCTCATCATCCTCCACTGCTGGGCGAGTTTCCTGACTACATCCACCAGCTTGATTTCTGAAGGGAAACCAATGAAACACAGACTGATTAGAATCACATGATCTGTCTCATGCTCTTTTCTTCCTCTCAGGGCCTGCACATTGATCCAGGGTCAAGAACAGGATGAGAAAGACCAGACGCGGTTTAGGCTTGTGTTTGACATATTATTGCTGAATTTTGCAAAAGCTACATAAATGATGATTGTAAAAATTTTCTACCTCTTTTGTTTCCTCATCATTCCATGTCAGCTTTGGCATCTCAGTCATTAAATATCACATCCATGTTTTTAACAATGTTCCACCACAGGACAATTTAAGCTCTTACTATGATCAGCTCCCAGCAGCAACAACGTAAAAGCACAACATGCACAAAAGATTTTAAACATCAATTGCAGATCTGATCAGGGGTCATGTCCACTGAATATTTTTCATCTTGGGATGTTTTTCTAAACTTTGATGGGAAAATCAGAAGGTTGTCTGTCATTTTCACGCACGCACACGCACACGCACACACACACTCTTGACCGCTTGGACAGACAGATTCAACTTTACAAAATTGAAAATCCAAAGTTCCCCACAGGAGAATCATCTCTGACTTGGACTAAGTCTGCATCTCGTACAGACTCGCCTATACACAGACTTTAATCCATTATAGTTTAGAAACTGAGGTTAATAATCAACTTTTTTATTTTCTCTAAATATCATGGTTTTTAATAATTATGTAAATGTTGAGTTTCTGAATCTGGAACTGAGTGTGATTGTTCTTTATTGTGACCTGACTAATCTTTTAGACGTCTCTTACATGGACCACGGCGTTGGAGACAAACCTTCATATTCAGTCAGTTTAGTTTTAATCTAAACCAACATCTTCAGATTAATCCCAACAGAATAAAAAAACAATTAATCTTACAGCTCGAACAGTTTTTATTTGAATAAAAGCTGATATTATGTAACAGCTGCACACTCAAAAATCACACAGACATCGGTTCAGATCTGCAGTGTCTGCCATTATAAGTTCAGAGCTGGAATAAAACTGGATTGACATCAATGAATCTAATCCTCCCAGCAAAGACTTATTAAACCCAGCTTGAGAGGAGATTAGCAGAAGAGGCTATTGCTGTCTAGCCGAGTTACTAGAATACAGTAAACATACTCTTACTGTACGCGCTCTGTTTCATGGAATATTATGGATCTGAGTGGATTTCTGATTTGTTCTGATGAAATGTTACGTTTTCTTGTTATTCAGCACTGTGCAAAGCACCAAATCTCTGGATGTAAACAAAATCTATCATGTCAAGTTGGTCAAATGTCCACTAATACATTTTCTTTATTTTTTTCTTCATGTCACAAAGTTCAAGCTCAAGAGCTCTGGCGCCCCCATTGGGTGGCAGGATAATATAGGTAGTGGCTGATTTTCAGGTCTTTGTGGAGGAAGATAAGCTCAGTATCGAGTTTTACACAATAGTATCAACTGATCGCGCCAAGATAAGAAAATCAGGGCCAATCGATTATCGTACCCGTACAACATGTCATGTGGATATTTTCCTCTTTACAGGTCAGAGCTGCTGGTTACCTGGGTTTTCACTGATCACAGCTGGTTTCTGCTGGACAACATATCTCATGTATCCGTTTAGAGGTCTCTTTGGTGGGCCGTTAGTCTGCGAGGTCAGATATTTCACTGGGTTGATATTTGCACTGCAGACAATACTGGTGCATCTGAAAACAGCAGCAGACAATCATTCACATTTTGCACATCAGGCTGACTTGATGATGTTTGTGCTGAACTATAACAATACAGTGTTTACCTTCAGTTTATAGATTCTAACGATTGCAAAAATTTCAACGTCTGCTGCAACTTTTAGTTTTTATCGTTTTTGATGCACCGTCTTGACAGATTATGTCATGATAGATTTTTCAAAAAGGAGAGCAGTGAAGGAGAGCTGCACATTTACACAGCTTGAGAAGAACCTTAGGAGCTTTTCCCCAAACAGCTGATTCCAACATCACCACTGAAAACCACAGTTGGTTTGCTGTGTCACCACTTCATGATGGCCTGGAACACAGATGTCTGCAGCATGTGGTTCTGACAAACCCCTCCCCACAGCAT